GCGCTTCTGTGGGCGATGTCACCAAAGGATTCGATTGTCTCGTCTTGGAATCGATGCTCGAGTCGGACAATGATTTCAGGGCTAATGTCTTAAACTAACAATGAATTGATGCTAATGTTTGGGAAGTGATGTCTTTCAGTACCCCTATTATCAACATATTTGACATTAATTAAGGAAATGATAGTTTTGTACCAAAATCTCAAATGTTAATTGTTTTATCCCTTAATATAAGAGTATTTTATTTAATTCTAACGCAAAATCTTTTCACTATTTAGCGAAACTAGAATAAACTAAATTAAACAAGCATATTTTTGGCATCTAAATATTTCTAAAATTAGTCTTATTTTTTGGTTGCTTTTTCGTAAATTCATTTATAACTTAAAAATGCTTTTGGTGTATAGTATGTTCAATTGCATAGTACCGTACTTGTATTGCACTGTAATATTATTGTGTATTACCATTAAAATAAAAATATTACATAATATTCGTAACGAAATCAATTTACTATATTATAGTAAATATATTCAGGTTGATTTGACGTATGGGGTACGTATGGTATCATACAATACGTATGACTGTTTACAATACCGTAATCTTATCGTCAATTATATCGTACGGTATTTTCACAAACAAAACTACAAGTCATGAACTAAACGTAATAATAAGTTAGTTTGTTATTAATAAGTGCACAGAATATTCTTGAACTCAATAATTCAGTCAATTTTATTTATGAAACACGAATAATAAAATAGAGTTTAATGTTAAATACAATGATTGCTTATATTTTGAAAAGTAACATTCATTTTGAATTAAAATAATTAAAATAATTAACATACAAATAGAGTATACAATAAAAATACAGTACTGTATCATACTAAAAACAATGATCCGGATTATGTGAGATTAATATATTGATTCATTGAATGCAATGTTAATGGTCTGTCCGTCTGTCTGATTACATGTGTGGAAATGGTTGACCACAACGGCTGTCAACTCTCTATACCGTGCCTTCAATGCCTCCCATCTGTCCTTCAGTTCTTCATTAGTATGACTCACTTCTGTCATCACTTCCTTCTCTATGGTCTCCTTTAGAGCCTTCTGTTTAGCCCTCCATTTGGACGACGCTTTCCTTTCCCTCGACCGGCGCCTCCTTTCCCTTTCGATGGGCTCCAAAGGAGGTCGACCTCTGCCTCTCTTAGGCGCCACACGTTTGGCTGCTTTTCTCGGCGGTCGACCCCTTTTCTTAGGCTTCACTTCCACTTTAACGTCAGATTTGAACATATTTTGTGTCATCAGTGGTCTTATGATCACATGTTTGGTGTTTTGCATCAATTTCACCGAATGTATGGAAGTGGACGACACGGCAATGGGAACCACAGGCTGTATGTGGGGGTCAGGGATGTGAGCGTTGGGCTCATCCATCATAGCATTGTTGACATCTTCGCGGTGTTCGTCCACTGCATCCAAACCCTCAAAGAACTGATTCATGTCTTTGTTGGCCATCACTTGCTTCATATCCAACGAGTCCTTCAAACTGAACGTCAAGTGCAGGCCATCCGAGTCCAGGGTCTGTGGCTTATAATTGGTGTCATCTGTATCTTCAAACTGTTCCTGACGTCCAATAAACTCGGATTCCTTCATATATTGTCGAATGAGTTCGAACTGATCCATGTCCTGGTCGTGTGAATCCATCACTACATTCAACGCAATAATTGTTTCAAAGTCTGTATGAATTGACAGAAAGCGTACGCAATGTGTGAATGGCCCACAACTGCACACAACACTCACTCACATGTTGTTTACATTTGAGTGAAGTGTCAAAAGTAGTCAACACTGCCATCATTACAGTCACCCCATCCCTACCCCACATACCGGTGCCATTGGGTGCACATAAGATGGCATCACTTCATAGCAAACACTTGTCGCTAATTCTTCACGCATTCAAATGTATTGTCTGAAAGTGAGTGCCATTTAGTCCACTGCAAGACTATGAGGGATGTGTTGAACCATTTGGGTGATTGCCGTCAAGACAATGACTGTCCTAATGGTACCACCGTTTGTCATACAACTCTCAAACTCATACATCACTGGAACCGTTGCCATCGCACAGACTGTCCCCTCTGTGAGCCCAACCGCTCTGCCATTCATACCAAAGCTATGATGTCTTTGACTGAACAACAGGTTTCGTGTCTTGAGATGTGCTAAACTTGTTGTCAATTGATTCGTTAGACCAGTCGTGTGACCGGCGATGAGCTCAACGAATGGCACACTTCTGTTGGCCATCATATGAGACAAAGTTTGTCGAAAATGATGGCCCAATCCATGACAGATAACAGTGTTTCCGATGGCATAGGTCTACAAATGGATCAACTGATGGACTCATGTAGTCGTATAGAGTCGGGTATTTTCCAGAGCGCCGACAGTCGGGAACAGTACTACTATTTATGTGCAGAGATATTGAAAGAGTATGATTTGAAAAGTGTGTCCACACTTGTGGTGACAGATGATAATCATATGAATGATGAGTTGGAAGTGTTGCGTGAGTCGGATGTGACCACAATTGAGGAATTGGTGAATGACTTTTCGTTAATCAGTTTGTGACTAATCTAATGATAATGTATTCTCTATGAGAATTTAATGTATGTTTAATTCATTTGATTAATACTGTAGTTATATTTGATGAATTCATATGAAAATGAGTGCCATTTTTAGTGCCATTAATATAAAAATAAAAATTATTAAATCTTTTACATAAATGTTTCATTAAGTTTCCTGTTTTCATCATTTTCCTAAATTATTAAGTTTATAAATATAAGATTTAATTGTTTATATTGTATGTGATAATTATTTACTAACCATTTGTATGGGAAGATTTAAGTTAGTTTTGAATCCGGGAAATATGTATTTATATAATGGACTCATCAGTTGTTCGTCAATCTTGTGGTCAGTTTTTCCTAATAAATAGAAATTCAATGTTCAATGGATTGTGAATAATATGCAATCATATGTCAGAATATTTATTAAACCTATGAATAGACTGCAAACAGCGCCTGTTATCAGACACGTAATGAATCCAATGAGAGGTAAAAATAGATAAGAGATGTGAAACACTTGAGCCCATCCTCTGAAATGTTGTAAATGTAGTAATAATTAACACTTTTTAATACAAGTATTCTTATGTGAAAACTATCTGTACTCTGGATTATCATAAGTCGATATATACGATGAATTAGGAAAAGCCATGGATTTTAAGTAGACATCTTTGACAACATCTGGTGGACAGTTGTCTGTAGTGGTGGGTAAAGAGACTTTAGGTTTGGGATGAAGCAGTGATCCAATTGATAGGAATAAACCAAAAATTATTCCACTAATGAAACCAATTAATGAACCCTAAAGTGAATAGTGAATGCCGTACAGGAAATTTCCATTAGGAATACTAGTATAAACTGCATATCAAATTGGAGATTTACATACCGGTGCTGTTGCATAGGGATAAAGTACTCCTAAAGTGAATAATGCAAAGAGTGGTCCAACCATTGAACCGACCAATGAGATGGAAGCTTGAAATACTGTTCCCGCATTGCCCACAATGAATGCCAGGGCGATGGCTATCAATCCATACGACCCGGCTATTAAAATGAATTGTTAATAAGTAATATAAATGATCGTGGGCAATAAAAACTGAAAATGACCGATTAGTTTAGTGATTTTAAGAGCATGTCTGTCATCTTGACATTTGATCCGATGCTTAATGATGTCCTCCCAAGTGATGGCCGCCAATGAGTTGAAACCGGAGGACAGTGTGCTTTCAAGTTAAATAAGATTTTTGATAAATTATAATAGGCAGGGTCAATATTTAAGATATGATTTAATGCCATACCTAAGGGAACCACTAAACACACATGCCACAAACAGTCCGGCCAGACCCGGGTATTGGGAAAGTGTGTCCATTACAAAGTATGGCATCAATTGATCTGGTCTTTGTACGTAACCCAAAGTGATTGGATCGCAATCGTGGTATTTGGCAAATATAGCCATTCCGCTCATCACTGCCAGTAATGATATGAGTATAAGGAGTGGAAGATTCCAGTATAGAGTTCTGTGTTATAAAAAATTGGTCTTGTTGTAATTAAAATTTTTCGATAATTAATTTGATTAATTTGTCGCATACCTCCTTGCTTTTTGTATTGATCCCAGACTACAATATCTCTGTACTTGGGTTTGTAAACAGCAATAATTAGCACTCCATATAATAGTTGTGCCGATTATGACATTCAAGAGGTTGTCATTCTTGTATACATTAACATCCGTACTAATAAAAGATATACATTGCC